AAAAAAAATTAATTAATTTTAATTAAGTTACTTTGAGTTAATCCAACCCTATTCTAATTCAACCCAGTCAAATACCAGTAATTTCTATCTGGATTATATCAAATTTCAAATCAATATTTTAGACTTATAACTCAACTCATAGCTAGTGGGTTGAGTTAAATTTTCAAATTAAGAAATCCATTTTACGAGGCCCAAGGCTGCATTTGGTTACAGCCTCTAGGAGAAGTTGCTCCAGGAAGTGTTGCTCGGCTGCTTGTCTCAGATTGTGTTCTCGGGTGGCTAAATAGTCGACTATTAAACCCCAATTTAATTTATATTAGTTTCTAATATTAAAATTTCAAGATGACAAAAGGAAAACAATGAAAATATATATATATTAAAAATTAATTTACATTTACATGCCTGTAAACAAGAACCCAGAAAGAACCGTATTACACATTCAAGTCCAAGATCTGTTCTACTGTTTTGCAAAACTTGTATAAAATGTCAAGGAAAGATATCAATAAATGAACACACTGGCTTCATAAACTAATGGATTTCTACATTTTCTCACCTTCCAAACTACCTTCAGAAGGCTTCAGTTTTGGAGACTCAACCAGTCCACTGCTGGGTTTGCCAGGGCTTCTCATCTTATCATCATCTCTCTCTTTTGGGCATTCAATGCTAATTCTCTCTATTTGATCATCAGTATTGGTTAGAGGATCTACCTGGGCACTTGAATTGGTCTCAACAGCATGCTTTGTGGTGTTACAAGAGTCGTCAATATCGCGGGGCAAGGACATCGGATGTGGCAGACTCTCCGTCCCAAAGGATGAAACTGATTCATCATTGGAAAATTCAGACTCTTCACAAATGTTCTGCTCTGTCATTTCTGATGCATTGGTTCGAGAGTCCTTTGACCCTTTGCGGGAAAGAACATGTTTTAGAGTGCGAGCAGAATTCCCAGCATGTTTTAGGACGCTCTTTGCCATACCTTTCATGTTTTTGCCCTGACTTTTTGGACCACTCCCCTCAGGACTCAAACTTCCTTCTTTTGAGCCCTTATCAGACGAAGGCCCTGGAAGGTTGTCGTCTACTACAAATTTCACAGCAACCTTCTTGGCATTCACCGCTCTGAGGTTTGCAGGTGCTGATTGAAAGACTTCTCCAATGCCGCTTGATTGATCATCCTTTTTTGGACTCCTGCGAAAAATCCTCCATATGCCCTTCCGAACTCTATTGCCAGGATGCTTTCCATCAAGATTTTCATCAGCACTGCTGTTGTCATTAGGAGGGGATCCTGATGCTGTTGATGTGGTGCTTTCAAAAGAATTCTTAGGCTCACTGTAGATAACGGTCTCAAGAGATCTACTCTTCCCTTTTCTAGGCTCCCAAGTTTGTGACACTTCACTTCCTGGCTGATGGATCCATATGCCAGTTTTTTCTTGTCCTTCGATGTTTATTGGTTCAAAATTATCTGGTACTTTTGCAGATTTATCTGAAGAGACTGAAGGTAATGGACCTTCTTTATCAGCAGTGTCACCCACAGAGGAGTTCTGTATATCTTCCTTCTTTAACGTTTCACCATTCTCTGCATAGTCATTTCCCTGTATAAATTATCCACTGATTATTTGCCAAGTTTTATGGCAGAACTTGTTAAAGCATTAGTCATTTTTAATATAACATTCAAGATACTCAAACATTTAATTTTCTGAGTGGTGAAACTCAGAAGTAATTACCTTGGCATTATCAACAGTAACTACTAGATGCAGCCTCCCTGTTTTGATATTCTGAAGAGGCAACCACATGTCATGTCTCTGGCCACCCCTGAGGTCACTGATATTTACAGTACATTTGCTGTAGACAGAAACAAAACTAGTACAGATTCAGAGACATGTATCTCTTCAAGAATGACAGACAGGACTATGCAATAACATTTTGTTATTGTAAAGGTTATGAGACATACCCAAGAGTATCATCAACAAAACGGTCTTTATCACAAACTTCAATAGCTAATACATTGGGTGAATCCCATGTACAAATAGGGATCTTAAATTCCTCATTCCATTTTGGAGCCAAAGTTTTCTTTTGAGTCCCAGTCCTAAATCTGTAAGGCCCTAGTTGTCCCTTCACATATGGATCTGCCAGTCCTGATAAATTCCTTCCAATAATTGCAAATTAAACTGGATGCTAAACAGTGTAAAGCTGGGAAATTGCAATTGAAACTAACCATTTAAATCCGATGGTTTCATGTCAGATGCTTCAACAACTTCAACTTTGGCATAGGCAATAGGTTCCTTCTCATCAACAAAAAACCAATTCTCTGGTGTATCCATAATCAAAGACATAGTGACTTTTACCACATGAAGGAAAATAAGAAGGATATTTATGCACAAGAAAAGCCAGGCTATTAGCTAAAGAATTTATGCCATCAAATTAATTTTGAAACATGGATGATCAAATACAGAACATTACTAACTATTCCATAACCATGACAGGGTATGCTAACTCTAACATCAAAGTAACCAGATTACAACTAAAAAGGGGGCATATGAGACTTCTAAAACAATTTCTGGAAACAACACTTTCTAAACATAACTATGCAATGGATGACTCAGATATAATAGAAGAGTGGGTTCATTTCCATTACGAAGGTTGCTACATGAGACAGGCACAAGTCTCCTCATAGCCAGCCATGGATTCAGGGTTAAAAAGTATATCAATTAACTCAACTAGAAAAAGTAAAAAATAAAAAAGATAAAGCAGGGCCTAAGAAAAGCATATCTTTGTCACAAATTACCTGGCTGTGGCGAAGCAAATTTCTCAATATCAACAACAAGCATATTGGGCTGCAAAGAGAACAAACATTTAAATATAAAATCAAACCCAAAAAGTAATGCATCTGGGATCTAAAACCTAAGTGAATCCTTAAACACAAATACTCAGGATTTGAATTTGACAGAGTATAAGGGTTTGAAAAATTTAACCTCAACAAGTGTCTGCTCAAATGCAATTGAGAGAAGTTTATCCTAACCAAGAAAAAGACAATATATCTAAGATAGGGAACAGAAGAAATATGAAGAAATTGAAGTTAAATTTATTCTGAAAATAATTTGCAATGGTTACCAGCCACCCTGCAATGCCTGGAAGTTCAGTAACATCAACCCCATGTGTAAATATAGGTTTCACAGTCATCTGGAAATAGGGTGGCTCAGCAAAACATACACGCAAGCGACCAAGGAAAGGCCACTGCCGAAGAAACTTCACTCCAACCAACACCTTCAATACAGGAGGAGACAGAGAAATGACTGAGCAAATAGAAAATTTTAATTTGCAGTAACTTAAAGATGAGTTTTTGCAGAGGGTGGGATAGGGAGGGGGAGACTATATGCAACTGAGAAAGGCATTTTAAAGATAAGGCTTCATCAATTACAAACACACACACACACACTCACACACACAAAAGAGTGACAACAATTAAAATGCATATGATACGCTTCAAGAGAACCAGGCCATAGTGCAGCTTGTCAGATTCAAGATGAATCAGATATCCTGATTCTCCATTAGAAAAGTAATTAGACTAGAGAAACTCTCTGTTGTTATCATTTCAGATTTAAGGTTAGAGTGGTAATGTACTCGGTAAATGCAATCTGAGTGGACAGGTGAAGAGAGAGTTACACCGTTCATCTCACAATTTTATGGAACAAGATACATGAGAATGACCGAAAAGCAATGCTTCGAATGTGAAATCCATGTAAACAAGAAAACGCAACCATAGGTGGATAATTTCTTGCCAAAGAGCATAAAGCAGATTTAATTTCAAGGTCCAGGAAAGGTCAATTAAATTAGATATTTAAATTAGACATGTAAATCTAAATAATCTCTTTCTGCAAAAGAAAAGGGAGGCTACTATCCATGTCAAACAATCCTCAAACAAAGCCATTACAGTTGGCCTCAAGACTCATGCAAAAACTATTAATCAGCAAAATCCTTTAAAAATTGGCCCATGTTACCAAGTATCAAACATTCTTCTTTATGAATCTTCCACTACAAGTTGAAACATTGATTGCACTATGAAGTGACAATTCTTAAATATCTGCACCCATGGTTTCAATATAATAAATTGAATTCATAACATGGTAGAGGGCATTTGCAGGACTTTAAGTCTGTATTCAAAACTACCATGTCATGTCCATGGTAGATATATAGTTGCATTCATTCATTTTGTTTCACATAATTCAATTTCAAGACCCTCCATTTTTTTCTAGTGATACCATGAGACCTAAATAATTTCACAGACGTTAGCACCAGAAAGTTAAAAAGCTCTTTTTTCTTTTCTTTTTTTCTTTTTCTCTTTTCATGTGCAGAATGGTGAATGCCATAGCAAACAGAGAGAGAAATGTCAACCACTTCATAATTTATTCATGTACTTACCTTTCCCTCGACATGCATGCTTGTGATATGCAACTTTGCCCACATTCCAAATCCCAGTCTTTTCCTTAATTTGACCGCAAGTATTGCACTCATGTCCTCTGCTGTGAGAAAATTCATTCCTAATTCTAACACCTGCATGTATGGAAGTGTAACCACGGGTTAAAAATCCAAACAAATTACAGCCACTGATATTATACATGCAAGAATAGAAAAGAAAACACACCAGGTGGTCATCATCATAGCATTGGCTAAGAGCCCTCATCTCTGTGAACATAGGTGGGTTCCTTCCCAAATACAGATGCTCTACCACAGCCTCTTTCTGCAGATAATATGCAGAATGTGTAATCAGCAATTATTCACAAATTGGATAAGAAAAAAAAAATATGATTATTTTTATAAGTAACTCCTATGCATAAATTCAAACTCTTAACCAGCCACCAATCACAGTCTCTGAACAAAAACTCTCCTCTCTACAAATTATACTACTGTAGGCAATTAATCATGCACCAGACTAGAAAATTGATAAGACTTGTACATTAGAAAGAACTCAAGAATACAGTGAATTGCTCAGCAAATTTTGTTCCCCAATCCCCTAACATAAAGAATTAGTTACACACGCAGGCAGGAATATGCAAGAAATCATATGGCAAACAAAAGTTTCCCGTGCAAAAATTTAGAATTTACTTTCTCCAAAATCAGAATCCTGGAACAGTGCCTATCAAGGACAAAAGAATATAAACCAAAGAACTGGAAATAAAACATAGAGAAAGTAGATCCATACAGCAGTCCAAGGTTTGTACTTTTCCAAGAACCAGGGTATGATAGGAAGCAGAATCTTCTGTGACGCAATCTGTTCCATACATATGGGCCATATCTTTTCAACAGCATGGTTTAACCACCGTACAGTTTCAGAATCCGAGAGTACCTGGAGATCAAGGAAATCAAAGAAAAGTGAAAAAGCATTAAAGTCACAGTTTGAAAGAATCTAATCAAGAATCCAGAACCCAATCCAGTCTGCAGAGTCGTACAAAGAGAAGAAATCAACGAAAAGTGAGAACAAATTTTTATCTCAAACCAGATAAAAGAATAAAGCAAGGAAAGAATTTGATCCTCAACCCTTGTTGTGATCCTAAACTGATTTAAGCTTAAATTGACCAATTGACTTCTAAAAAGTGGATTGACCACCTTTTATTGTGGAAACAACAATTACCAAGGGAATGAAATTCTGGGAATCACCAGTGAATATATGCATATATATTAACATCAAATGCCCGAAATCTCAAAAGAAAATTGAAAAATCACCCTTCTCTGACTTGATTGTCTTTTTTCGTCGTACTGCAGTTTCTTCCGGAGCCTCATCCAACACCTCTCGTAAACCTTAAAAGGAAACAAAACATCGATACACCCAAAATAATAAAAATAATAATAACCCGAAAGAATCACCCAACAAAATCGGCCTTTCAACTTGAAATTCAAAATATTAATCAGAAAGAAAATTTTTAGTCTAATCAAAGATTATAATTTATAAAGATAGAGAGAAGACGAATAGCCAATGAAAGGTACCCAGCAGAGATAAATAAGAGACACAACATAGGCGACTGCGGAGCAGCGATTGAAATAAGAAAGCAACCAGAGGAAGAATAACACAGTGGCCACATGATGCATTAGTGATATATCCATGGTACCCATCTATTGAAATCAAACAAGTACCCAGTTAAATTCAGGAACCCAATACCCAAAACATCAAGAAACCCACAAGAAACGTTACCCAGATAACCTGTGATCTTTCTGAAAGTGACCCAGAATTGTAAAGTTTGAAATCACGGGATTTGAATTCAAGAATGCCTCTGCTCTTTTGAAATATTGTAATAATCAACAAAAACCCAGTTCAAGTTTTCAGGAACTGAAACCCACAAACCATGATCATCCAAAAAAAAAAAAAAAAAGATGTTTCTGTGGTATATGTGGTATCTTTACCCAGAATCTTAAATGAGAAACTTGGGTCTGAATTTATACAGGGGAAAGAGCAAACAGCATTGGCAGTTACTACAGTAAGATGGATTTTTAAACGCATCTGAATCCAACGTGAAGGAGAAAAGGAAGAAGAAAAAACAAAAGCCAAAAAACAAATGAAGGTTTCCCGGGATTGATTTTCGGATTTGTTTCGCCATTGGATGTTGTAGGCGACCCGCAAGAAAATCCAGTTGCAAACGATACCGTTTGAGGAAGGCAGCTGCCAACCAACTGCTGATTGCCGAGCAGGATGATTAATGGCCTAATCCATTTGGTTTCCCCCAGTGGGCCCTCCGTGGGCCCTGCGTGCACATGTCGGCAAGGCGCCTTTTCTTAAAGTTCTTTTCTTCATTTTTTTTTTTTTAAATCTTGAGTGACTATTATTATTAACCTTCTATCATCCTATGGTCAACATCAAAAATAATTTTGGTTATTTATTATAATATTTTTAGCAGGGACAGGCCTTTATCATCACTTTTTTACATTTTTAATATTTTTTTAACTTTTTATATATGAATTTTAAATAAAAATTTAATATATAATATAAATAAGTAAAATTATTAAAAATAAACAAATAAAATAATATTTTAATAGAGTAAAGTATTTAACAGTTAAATATATAAAAAAATTAAAAGGTAAAATATGTAAAATTGTCTCATTCTAATAGATTTTTATTAGAAAAACTAAAATAATCTCCTTTTTAAGCATGGTTGGAGAGAATTGTAGTGTTTTTTAGTAGTATGTTATTGAAATAATATAATTTTAAAAGTTTTTTTCTTTTAACTTTTTAAAAATTTGAGTAATAAACATTATTTCTTTTAATAAGCATTAAGAGTGTGTTTGGTTAAAGGTCAATTTTTTCGTAAAAGTTTTTTTTAAAAAAAGTAATTGGTAAAGTTATTTTACAAAAAGTTATTAAATTTTGTATTAAAATTTTGTTAAAATTTTATTAAATTATTAACTTTTTGTATTTAATAAAAAATTGACATAGAGAAAGTATGGGAAAAGTTAATAAAAAATTTGTTAAATAAATCCTACATAAGAAAAGTTGTGAGAAATTTGCTCTCTTAATGAAAAATTAGGAAGAAAAATTTATAGTTTAGGAATTATGAATGAAAATGAAGATTAAAAATATTACTTTTACTCTTTATTTATTATTATTTTAAGATATATAAATATTAAAATACTCTTAAGAAATCTTGAAGGACATTTCCAATCAAAGGAAACCAAACACTACTAAGCAAAAACGTGAAAGGTTTTCTTTATTTATTATTATTTTTTTTTTAACAATTACAATTTGGAGTAGGGGAAAAGGAAATATTTATAAAATATTACCTAAATTCAAACTTTGCTACCAGGTAAGAAATTGAATGCACTACTCAGCTGGGAAGAAAAAAAAAAAAAAAAAAAAACGTGAAAGGTTTGTAACATCGAATTCATGAGCTTAAATGTAAAGGAAAACAGGCAAGAAGAAATGGCCCAATTTTAACAAATTTAAAGATGGTAGGTTTGAGCTTGAGCATTGTGGCTCTGGGCCTTATTTAGATTTAGGGATAACCATAAAGGGATGCAATTAGTTTGTCATCATCCAACCTTTTCTTTTTTTTTTTTGGCACGAATTAGGTCCATTAATTTTTAAGGTGATGCAATTATGTCTTTGGTTTAACAAAAGAAAAAGGATATGCACATGAACCGCAATTTACTTGCTATCTTCACTGGTTCAGCATTTCAAAAACAAAAATGCTCGTGATATTGTAAATTTACAATAAAATTTATTATTATATAATTAATTTTTTTATTTAAAGATCTACCCATAATAATATATATACTTATTTAATATTACATCATACTCATGCAATATTAAGCCATGATTGTAAGATTATAATTTTATGTGACATTGTAACTCCTGCTATTCCAAAAACTGAGTTTCACGTCTGCATCTACCATGAAACACTACCTTTTAGGCTATCTTGAGTAAACATCATGTGAACCTCATAATTCATTATTTTTACCATTGTGCTTCCTTCTCTGGTGTCAAACACTTCTCAGACAATTAATGAAACCAGAGATCACAATTCCCTCAACATGTTGTACGATGAGTTGAGACTAGGTTGCTATTGATTCAGTCACATTCCATATAAAAAACTACTCCTTTTAGACTTTTGATCAGATGATAAGGTCCTAGAGTCTCAACCAGCAACACCAAGGAACAAAGTTTCCGCCCAATATATGGCAGCAGTACATCCTCATTAGTCCAAAATGCTATATGATCCATGGAACTATCCATTGACAATTTCTTCAAGAGAAATGCAATCAGCAGTGCTTCTCTCTGAAAAAACACATTGAATAATCTGACACCACATCCCCATCTTAGGCACGAAACCCTGCTGCACCATCTGCTTCACAGCCCAGTCGACCTCCCTTAATAACTTTTTATCACAAAGACAATGGATTAACTTCTTGTATGACACAAAACTTGGACTCAACCCCTCAGAAACCATGGTATCTATTAAGTCTTTTGCATCCAGAAATCTCTGTGCATCAAGAAAACCGTACAAAACCTCTTGATAGGACCCTGCACTTGGATGACATCCCTTCTGCTTCATCCTCTCCAACACCTGCATCCCTTCATCAACCTTGCCTTGCTTTCTAAGCCCTGAAATCAAAATATTGAAAGTGACTGTGTCTGCTTCAATTCCTTCTTTTTCCATCCTATCCAACAACTTAAATGCTTCCTCCACTTTCCCTTGCCCACACAAACCATGCATTAGCGTCGAAAAGGTCCTCACATTAGGTACACACCCTTGTTTAGGAAATTCGTCGAGCACATAATATGCAGACTCTAATTTCCCATTTTCACACAACCCTTTAATGAGAATATTCAGACAACAAGCATCGATCGCAACACCCAACTTCGGAGCACTTGCATATATCTCATGAACATAATCGAAGAATTTCCCTGATACAAGTAAATTCAGAACAAAATTAAACGTTTTGACGCTTGGCCAACACCCATACTCTGGCATTTCAAAAAGGGTATCAATTGCCTTCTTGATTCGACCTGCTGAATGCCCATAAATCTTGATAACGTTGTAGAAGAAATCATCGGAAAAACGAAAAGGCTTTTCGAGCTTGAGCCTCTTCATGATATCTTCAATGGCGTCGAAATTCCGGGCAAGAGCGAGTTTGTTGATGACAAGGGTGAAGAGGGCTTCAGTGGGTTTGTAGTCTCTGCGCTTTGAATATTGATCAAGAACCGAAATGACTGAGTTGGGGTCTCTAAGGGTCTCGAAGATTTTGAGAACTTCATTGGGCGCCAACCAATCCTTGTGGGTTAAACGGAAAAGAGAGTCGGAGTTCTGTTGCTGCGTGGAGAAAGAACGTAAAGGAGATTCGTGAAGTGGGTTTCCGGCAAGGATTGAAGATGTTGAAAGAGAGGGAAAGAAAAGGCGGGGATGTTTCCTGATCGAATGAAGAACAAGCCGATAAGTCATGACTCCGGTGAAGAGGCAGCTGGCCAGCTGACAAGACAGAATTGAGTTTTGCATTTGAATTTAGGAAAAAATTGAAAACGTTATTCAGTGTGATATTTTCAGACGTTTTTGATAATTAAAAAATTAGAATTTTTATGAAATCATTGAAATATTTTTAATAAATTAATTTATAAAAAAATATTTAACATATTTAAATAATTTTATAAAATTTTTTGATATTTTAAATATTAAAATATTTTAATTTTATTTTAAAATATAATATGTTATATAATTAACCTTTTATTTAAAAATTTATTTGTATTATTTAATATTACATTATAAATTTAAAATTTACGTATTATTATAATTATAAAATTGTGAAAAAAAATCTCAACTCATTAGCATTACAAAAATGTTTTTTTACTTTCCTTAGTTACTTAAAATCATTAATCTAGTAGTGTTGGAAAATACAAAAATAGACATACATCAAGATTTATTAATGATATTTTTGTCATTTCTAACATCAAACTGAATTTTTTAAAGCCTTAGATATACTGTTCCTTTCTCTTAATTATTAGTATTAATATTATATAAATTTTGTAGTTCTACATTCTATATTGATAATCAAATGAACCGTCGCCCTATAAAACAAGTTTTTGAACATGTACAAATTTATTGAGGAAATTTACCAAAATGACTTGACTGTACAAGTAAATTGAAAAATACATTAAGATTGTCAGGAAAATTATCACTGTTTTTTCTTCCCTGCAAGAATTGGCTGAATTTGCAGATGCCGATTGAAAGCCTCATTGAAAAGGAAGCGAGTCTGGAAGGCTGATATGATGGGAAGCCATGCCAATATAGCAATTGGAGCAAAGATCACAATTCCCATTCCATAATCATATGCCTGTGCAAGTACCTGTGTGAAGTGCCATAATCCTGTGTACTCTATCTTGGGCCTCACAGCCTGTGCAATCTGAAGAACCAAAACAAAATTAGTGAAATTCTAAAGGAAGATGGCAATTTTTTTTAGGGACAGGAAAAGGTTGTCAGCTGAGCTTTACCAATATTAAACCCCATCCGGTTGGTAAAAATGCTAGACAGCATACAATCAGATCCCTCAAAGAGAGTTCACAAATGACAGAAAGAGTGGTAATGACGGCTATGACACCGAGGAAGAGGAATGCTTTGAATAACCTAAACATCAGCTGGTACTTAGCGCTAAAGAGTTGCCTTCCCAAGTTCACTGCCTGTACATCATGTTGAGATGGTGTTATGACTAAAAACAAAAAGGTAAATTGAAGCTCTTGATGCAGAAAAGTCGTACTGAGCAGATTTTGCAAAATTCACTCTTTTCAGGCAAGTAGAACAAAAGGGATATTTTCAGGAAAAGGAAAATTAAAATGATGTTAATGACGGAATTTCATGCACCAATAAAAATCTGCATTATGCATAAGTCCATCTTGTGATGAAGTGTAGAGATGTGCTTTATAAAGTTACGGACTTACCTTAACTGTCAGAAAAACTGCAACAATGACAACCCAGGAGAGCACATAAACCAGGAAATTTTTGCTCTGTTGGGAGATGTCTAAGTGATAGACCAGGCCATACTGATACATGAAAAACCGGAGAGAGAGAATAATTTCACACAACCTAGCACCAAAACCTGATTGACGAAGGTGTGCTTGCTCATCATTCCACCACGATTGCCAACTTTTATCCTGTTGAATTCCTATACCTCCTTGCTCCTTGATCCACTTATTCCAATCTTTCCAATCATCTACTATCTTGTCCCAATTGAATCCAGAAGGATTAAATAGAAATGGCGCAAACAGCCAGGTTATTGACATGAACCAAACAGAGTAGGTGATTAACACATATGCCATGCTGCTCTCATAGGACCTCCTATACAAATCATAAACAATTAACAAGAGCAACAGTTCAAATCCTTTAACAAAGTGACTCCGTGAATATAGTCTGTAGTTCTCAGCAAAGCTTGCATGGGACACCACGACCTTACGTCCAGTAGGTCTATACTTAGCTCCACCATGAAAAACTGTTCGACCATAATAATGAGTTTTTGTTCCAAGGGAGAAGGTGAAGAAAACAGAGGCAAGCTGGAGCTGCATGAGAACAAAATCTTTGAGGGCAGTAAGAAATCCTTTCTCAAGACCAATTTCCATCACCATTGGCAAGCCTGTTAAGAGCCCAAGCTGTATAAATGACTGTGAAGCAAGAGCTGTTTCCAGAGATTCTATGTTTTGCATCCTAGCCTCAAGAATGAGTGCTTTCTGCAGTCCGCTGAGGACCAGGTAGAGCTGTCCGTAAAGGAACACATAAATTCCAATCACTGAAATCTGTAAATTAGAACAGAATTTCATATTACTCACCAGATCAAATGAGAAGGGCAGGTAAAAGAAACTGATCATTGTCATATATTTGATATGAAGGAAAAGGTATCATGTCTATACATTTTTCCAGTCATAACGAAAAAGTTTACCATGTTTCAAGCTAAATAAATGTTGAAGATCATAGCAATATAAGTACTGATTCATTGGAAACATGTTGACTTCTCTGTAGCCCAGCAAGATAGAGCATCATGCTATACCTATAAAGATTGAAGTCACAAGAGAATCTTTTTTCGGCCTAAGAACATCATCTAATGAATTGGTATTAATATGGCACATAGGTTATTTGTCAGAGTTAAGATTTTATGTAGAAAGCTTCTTGTATATGGATTTTAAAAGCATTTCTTATGTTAAATAGGTTGAATCATAAACTGTTTCCATGCTTTGTCATTTTAAGTTTATGCTGAATCTTGTATCTTAGGGTTCACCATGTATACAATATGCATCTAAAAGTTGGATATAGCTCCAAATGGTAAAAGCTTTACCTTCAAATAAAGTAACAATAGTTATCTAGTTGAAATTGGATACAGGATATGATTAACTCAGTATCCCTAATAAAAGTTCACAGCAGACTAAATAAAAGGCTGTTGGCCAACAGAAAGAACCTAAATTGAATGCCAATTTGAACTATAAAGAAGAATAAAACCCATAAATTTCTTCAAATTTTAATTGCATAAGCTACACACATATATGACCATGGATATATTTCATATTAACATTAGAGCAATTACAAAATATTTATCTGTAAAGATTTGTTGATGTTCACATAATGTAATGATAAATTTTTAGTAGTTTGAATAATTGAGAGGAATGGGTGTCAGCCTAGAGAAGAAGAAAATGGAGAAAGTGGTGAAGCTGGAAAGAAAAAGAAGTGAGTTTAAATAATTGAGTTTCTATTATATTTTTTTTCTCCTCTTTTCCATTTTTGCTCTTAGGCCCTAGTTGCAATTTGTGCAATTTATTCAATCAAATATCTAGGTTTAATCAAACTACTAAAATTATCCCTTTTTTTTGGTATGTTAGATGATAAGCTATACAATAGGGAAAAGCTTCCCTTTCCCTTAATCCTTTCCCACCTGTCTCAAGGTTTGAACTCAAGATCTGCAGCTTGGAGTTTTAGGTTCTTAACCACTTGAGACACCTCCTTGGAGGAACTAAAAATTTATCATTATCACCATGTAAACACCAACAAATCTTTAGTTATACAAATGAGTGTTATAAAAGTGTTGTAAGTCAATATAAGATATGGCCATGTTATGCTCGTCAAAAGAATATATAGCTAATGCAAATAAAATGTGAATAGAGTTATGCATTCTACAGAAGAATACTAGTTTCAATTCTCAAAAGAATGATTATTTGACCAGGGTTTGAAGAAATTACCAGGCTACTAATGTAGAACCCAATGGTGGTGAAGTAACAAGATAGCATCCGAAAAAAATCAAATTGACGTCCTAGACGGTATATGTCACGGCTTAAAGTTTGTTCACTATTTCCATTAGCCACTTTGGCTTCAAACTTTGAGATCTGACTTAGGCCTACATCACGACCTTTACCAACTTGCAGGTATTCATGATATGTGATGCATCCCTGCCTTAAGGTAGAATTAAACCCTACACATACACATTGTTCAGATGTTTATAGTTGTCAATAATATATGACCAAATAGTCAGAAACAATGTTCAAAGTTACAAATCCCTACCAGCAAAAACATCCTCACTCAAGTTGATGGTTTTTGATGCTTTGCTTATGCCACCTCTGGTGATATGAAAGATCCTATCAAATACATCTGGATGCCCATAGTGGAATCGTACCCTGTTTATTAGATGAAAATAACAGAAAATGACCAGGGAATTTTACACCTTAGTATGCATCAATAAAATAACACAAAGAGTGCTATTACAAGCCCTTGCATGATCTTAGCATTAGCTTGAAGAATAAAAGCTAATGAAAGTACCTGAGCGCGCCAAAGGCCCAACTACCCAGGGTATCCAAAAAAGAGGAAGAAAAAAAAAATTTACCTAAGAGGATTGGCAAGAATTCTTTGACCAATGGTGACAAAGCTGGTCTCTTGATATGACATAAACCATGCTAAAGAAGAAACACTGCATATTTCAAAGAACAAATTATAATTTTCAGTCTTCAAGAGCAAAGTCACTGATGTACTTTCTAACAATTAAATGATAGATTGATGGAGAGAAGACAATATAGAAAATTCGTGTTCATAATTATTTGATCATGGCATTATGCCTTTACTTCTGAGGGAATTTTCTTTGTCATTCTTCTCACTTTTGAAGTCCTTTTAGTCTGTGCGTTCTCTCTTATTGCTAGGCTCTACTACATTTTTGTTTGATTTCGCAATACCTTTCATGCACTAACTAAACAAAAAATAAAGAGGCTGTTCCAATGAATGGCCCCTAATATGAAGAGCATTTATGGAGTAAATTATTTCACTCTTATATACTGGTTTTCCCCGTTGTAAGGTATTTTACTCATGCAAGCACCAGATTTGATGATTATAGCTTATTTACTTATGGGCTGAAAGGATCAAACCTTCCAGTGAATATGTGCTCCCTTAAACCAAGTATTGTAGGAGGCCGTCGTCCATGGTTCGAAAGAAATTCTTGCAAAAGATTTCTCATTTTCAGTGCTTCTTCCAAATAATTATCCTGAAAACAAATTAACATGAGAACAAAAATGCATGAAAGTAATCAAAAGTTGAGCTACAGAGCAAGGCATACTTGATTCATGTCAATTGTTTGAAGTGCTTCACCACGTGTAAATATTATTGCATGATTCTGGTTTTCAGGTTTCCCTTCCCCAATGTTTGGAGGACCAGGAAGCTTTATGCGATATATTTCCTGTAGCACAAAATCAATCAACTCTTACCATTGAACATAAGAATGTCAAAAGCATGGTGAGTAAACATGATTATGATGGTACAAGTACTCCTATAATAATTTACAATAAGCATACATGTAATTGAAATATTCCACAACACTGCTAATCTTCCATTACCCAATCTGGTAGATGCTAGTTCTTAGACAGTAATATGGCTGCCCATTTTTATTTTACTGCTCAAGGCATCAAAGTGACCTAATTTATCTAAATCGTAACTTATAATGTTTAATAAAATAAATAATCTACTACCTGATCAAAACCATTGACAGCTTTAACCAGTATAGAAGAGTAAACCTTTCGAGGTTTATTTGTTAAGATCTCCTCTTTCTCTTCCTTTTGAGGTTTACTGGTTAAGATCTCCTCTTTCTCTTCAACATATGCAACACGTAGAGATGGATACCTACAACCAGTAGTTGAATATCATTATTTACAGTTACATCTAAATAAGTCTGATAAATTTAAATTTGCAAGTCCATAATCTGTCTATTGGTAAAAAGTTACCTTATCATCAAATTCAGTATGTCTTTTGCATGGGGGTCTCCTGAAGATTTTTGTGCTCCGAACATTTGAAAAGAAACTACATGTGTGAATTTCATGTCTGCTAATGCATCTAATTTAGCAGACTTTGGATTATTTCTTTCAAAAGAATCATAACCTTCAAGAATATCTTAACAGACACAATAAGCCATTTGGCCAAAAGTGGGAAAAGAAAAAAGATCAAATTAGTGAGAAGGAATAAAATGAATTGATCATAACATGCAGAGTAACTAAGCTAAATGCTATTAGCTTAGTTCAGCATCACAAACCTTCAACTTCAGCCAAGTCAAGAAATGCTTGTAATTTTAAGGCTTCTCTGTAATACATCATTCCTCTTACTGGCATATTCAAAAGAAAATAAAATCACATACCATTTAGCAGGACCAAACAAAATTTTCTGAGATGCCAATACATAAATATTACTTATAATTTTTGTTCACCTGTTCTGCTGAGTGTTTGTCCCCGAAAAGAGGCCCAATTTCTAAGCTTTTCCTCGTTTTCATCTTTCAGAGCATCCAAATTTTCACACTCCATGCGTTCCAGAAAGTTCTTCCATTCATCTGAAATATTGGGCCAAAGAAAGCATTAAATATCTGGAGTTGTGTTCAAGTACTTGTAAGTATTACTCAAGTAGTTGTATTTCATTACCTGGATATATTTTTTGCATGTAGAAGATGATGGAAACTTGTTCTCTGCTTGAATGTAGCTCCTTCATTGAGTAATTAATGTCCTCCATGTAATGTGGAGTTATAACACTGTATTAAACAGAATATATCTTATCAGGTAGAATTTTTTATCAGCAAGTGAAAAGAACAATGTTTTCATAATATGGTCAGCGTTAATGCTTAAATGAAGCAAAGTTCTAAATTATGTGGTTTTATCCTTTGTTCTGCATGTGTCAATTACTATATAAAGATCACTATCAGGATGCTTGCATTAGTCATTAATTAAAAAATTAAAAATGTAGCATGAAACTTCATCTTTTGTCCTTCACACCGTAAACACGCCAGTATAAACTCAATTAACTTAGAGATATTAGTACATGATAACAGTACAATAGTGGGAAGAACTTAATGGATGAATAATTATATGACGAAGATGAAAAGAACATCAAGATGAGTTCACATCTACTCAATATGGCACACATATCTGTGTGTGTGTGTGTGTGTGTGTGTGTGTCTGCCTGTATGTCTGTTGCATGTATGTATTTTTCACTAGCCTATACAAACAGAAGAACCAAGAGAATTGGATCAAGATTTAATTAGTTAATAATTTCCAAGTACCTTGTCTAACATATTTTCCAACTATATCCTATTTAGCATAGTGTTAGAGCAAAGAGAAGTTTGAAGCCAGGGCCTGAATCCTTGACTGTTAATTGTTAAAAGATAGTTTCTTAGTTTGGTCTTAGATATTTAGTTAGCGACCAATCTTTATGCATGGACCAAATGCACAATGAATATGTGAAAAATGAGATAGTCATCACCAAGAAACAATAGGTACAGAGGAAAACAAGTCAACCTGAATGACAACATGTTGTGTACTTTAGGAGCACTAGGCATGTTATCCATGAAGAGTGAAGTAGCAAAGAACGAAATGCGCCTCCGGGCTTCTAAGTTTGCAGGTATATCCATTGCTTTATCTTTAATGGAAAGCAACAAAAGAAAACGCTGAATCTGCAATCCAAAGTTCCAAACAGTTTGCCAGTTTGGTTACTATGTGTGTCAGAATCACAGTAGCAATAGCACGAGTGCCTTTTGTTTGTAAATGTTCATTAATGAGTATCTACACTCAATTTATAGCAATTTCATACTAACATGAGTGTGTGCTGGGGCTTCACTATGTGTGACTTATGCTTGCATGCACTCATCAATTAAAGACTTTGCATATGCATACATCAATTAAAGACTTAAACACTAATCAATCTTTCTGAACACTTAGCCATCCAAATCAGTTATATTTATTCTTTGACCCTGCCATGATGATGACTATCCCTAGCTTGGGGGAAGGGAGTAGTGCAGCTAACATAACCTGATCATTCAGAGGGGCATTGTCTGGCAAAGGGAAATGGATGGCATCCTTCCTAGCAGCTGCATCCTTCCTTGCAGCTGATTCAAATAACTGTGGTTTAATTGAATCAATTCTTTTAGAGAAAATAGTAAAATCTCCTTCAGTTCCTTGAAAGGAGTCTATCAGATTCAATATTCTGCATATATTCAAAGATGAACTTCATCAAACACATTTACTTAAACTTCCAAAAAGGGCAAAAAAAAAAAAAGAAACAGAGGGGATCAAGAAGAGGCCTAGTATTGTAAACCTGGAACCATTCGTCATTATATCATGTGTAACAAGCTCAAAGATGTCTTGGAGAACTTTAACAACTTTAACATGGTGATCTTCATTTCCCTCAACCTTAAACATGTCATTTAACAAGTCTTGAGTTGAGATCTCAATTACTGATTTATTAAGGCAAAAAAGAAAAGAAAAGAAATAATCAGTTGCGGTCTTTCAAGTGGCAGCCTTACTAGAATTTCAACCAACTCAATACATTTAGCTTGCAGAGCTGGGAGCTCCCTCATCTTGAATTCCTCAAGAAAACTTGATGTTCTAATGCTTTCTTCAATTTCATTGACTATGGTAGATATAACCCTAAAAAAAAATTGCAGGAAATACTACAGTGTTTACAACAGTATGGCAAGCTAAAAGTAAGAAACATTCAGGACAATCATATCATTGTTTGTTTCTGTCAAGAAAGTGTACTCATCCATTTTGACAGTAATAAGAGTTACAATAAAAAAAAAAAAGTTTATGAAGAATGTATTTGATAACATGATGCTGCCTCCTACCTCTTTTCGAGATCACCCACAACAAGAACTTCAAGGATGTACTGTAGTGATTCATAGCACTCTTTCACAGCAGAGTACATGTACTTATCTTTTTTAATTTTCCTGAAAAGAACTTTATCCTTCCCCACAAAATTGGTTGCAATGCTCAGTGCCATGGAAACCTAAAAAGAGTATGAAGCTATGCTTAAGGGGAACAACATGAACAACACAAGGTCACAAAATTTTGAATGTAAAGACTGTACCTTATTTGCAAGAAGGAAAATAGGCCAACGAATTATTCCAGAAAGTACCTCTGATGACATGGGTATTGTCATTAAATTCATTTCCCTGTCATTAAAATATATTTATATAAATCTTTTACTTATTTATCCATTTAATAAATACTTTATTTAGAAATATTTATTCAATCAACCTGTTGCTTATCAAGTCTTCTAATCTAAAATTACGGACAATTTGGTTCCAAACTAGAACAAACTTTGCCAGATCAGTTTGCCCACTTTCAGACACCTGAGCAAATTATCAATTGGAGAATCAGCAAGAAGAAAAGATTCTTAAACCATTTATCAAATATATTGTAAAATCAAAGCTTTATTACCTCGTGGGATCTCTTGTAGAAGAAACTTTTTCTGATTCTGTTTTGGTCTTTTTTCAATAGGGGTGGAATAAGTCGAACCTTGAATGCTTTAGGCAATGTCTGAAATCTACTTCTCAGCATTCCTAACGTACGGATCTGTATAAAATTGAAAGAAATTAGTCTAGAACCTCACTGATTAGGGCAGATAAGTTGATCATACCTCCCCAAGATGATGCAAAATTCCATAAAGTCCACCAAATATCATACAATATACAGAATACCAAATTTGTGTGTCCATGAAATATACCTGCAAATTTTTTATGTATGAATTTAAGGGACAGAGAACTATATTGAACAAAGTAATAATAGTTCAGTAACTTCTTATTTATGCAAATTGAAAAGAAGAAGAAGAAGAAGATATATACATCTTCATCTTCATTGCTTCATTCATGAACTTTTCAATTTTTAACTCCCCCTTTCATTTTTTAATTTGCATTAGTAACTTGATTTTCCATTTTCATTACAATAGATTGGAGGCATTGTCATGATCACCTAGAAACAAGAACCATCAATCTCTGAAAACAAGGATCAATTCACCTCAAATTGCAAAAAATTACTAAAAATGAAAGTTCCACATTTTAGATAATACTCACAACTATTATGGGAGTCCATACAGCCACAATAGCACCAGCATTGCTCTTGACTGCAAGAGGTCAACAAACTTAGATGTATTACACAGGATCTCAACTGTGACTTTTAAAAAGAAAAAATAGAAAGAATTGAAGAATACCTTTAGGGAAAAGCTCATGCCAATCATAGTTTTCCACACCAATTTTCATGATTAATCTTGTTGGCTCTATCAGTGGTTTTATCTGAAAATTTCAAATTTTCAATTGGCAGTAATAATTTATAAGTTGTCTCACATTCACTTTTCTAACTGTGATCTAAATCAGAAAGTTTGTCTTTCTCTTTTTACATGTACTAAACTCACAAGCTCTGCCGCTAAAGTTTACAAGATGATAACAACCTTTTTGATCTATCTTCTTTGGTTCAGGAATATAATAGTTTTACTTTGTATAATAATGTAACGTCATTGCTTAAATATATGAATACAATGGCTAACATCAATGCAAATTAAGTTAAGGTGTAAAATATTGTACATATACCAGTCGTGACTGATACAGAGCTGTTCAGCAGGAAAAAAAATTATTGCTAGCATGGTAGCTTCAGTTTTGAACCAGGATCAGTGAACAAAAATGGAAAAGGGTATAAATATGTGTCTACTAGTAGCAGCAATAGTCCAAATAATTGAGACACATATTTTCAAATTATGCAAGACCAAAGAGAGTACAGGAAAACTAACTTACAACTAAACTATGCAGTTATTTTTGTTATGAATAAACTTGCAGTGACATACATTTGTAATATATATAACTTTATGATCTTCATTCATGGGATTGGATGCAACTGAACAGTTTAAACTTCCTTTTGAAATCACCACAAAGTACAATATTCCCAGTTCGAAAGGTAATGCTTATTCTCAAGACGATGGCACAGACAAAATTCAGTACGACTTCAATTTTTTGCCTTGCATTGCACCACTAAACAGTAACAAAACATTCTTGCTATATGTGATAGTTAAAACAATCTCAAGCATGATATTAAGATTGTAATAATTTTTGAATAATCAGATAAATGAAATACATATTTATAATAATACTACATTTTCATAAATTGGCGTGAAGCAGTTACATCAGTACCAACCTCAAAACTATAGCTGAAGAGACATTTAGTAGACAGTACTAGTATCCAGAAAGATGTATACCTGCATGGTATAAAAAGGAACAAACATCAGGGAGCATTGAAATCGAATCAGATACAGATAAAACTTCACAATAGGGTGTGTAGGGAGTACTTGAAAAGTGAAACTTGGGTTTCCTGCATTCCACGACCAATGAACAGTCTAGGCTACAATATCAAAAACCATAAGCTATGCTTGCAAGTTTAAACTAATAAGCAACAAGATGAAAGATAAGATAAGCATTAGCTATGCAGCATTAAAGGTTGACAGGGAACAATTTTTCTGTTTGTAGTTAGCTAAAAGAATAGAAGACTGCTCACATTTATTGCAATTTGCAAATTAATGAAAAAGATGGCACCAGAGATCTGGTACAATTTATCATAAGTTATGCAGTATTTATAACCATAAAACTTGAAATTAAAAATAATAACAACCATAAAGCAAAACAGAGGCAAAAAGAATTGTGAAAACAAAAATCTGTATGTTAAAAGGAAGAACCACTTCAAATTTTCAACACCTATATAGAAGCAGAAGTTTTAACCAAAGGAAAAAAATTATGGCAGAGAAAGTATAAAAGGGATGGTATCTACCTGTGCCCACCATGATAACGCTTTGCATAAGCGCCAATCTGAGGTTTCAATGTACTTGCTTATAGCCGGAACAAAGAATAGTACCAAGTCAACTGCATTAGTCACCAAGTAAATTGCAACAGCAACCATATAGGAGGAAAAGCACCATTCCCCAAGCCAGCTTCCATATTGTGTGGGATAACAAGTATATTTTCTCCTAGAATGAGCATAATAGACAGGGAGAATAATTGTCCAGATCAATGCAACAGCAAGCCTTATCAGTTGTTTTCTTTTTTGAGAGAACTCCATTGTCTTTCTTGCTTTCCATGTAAAGGCAATATCAAGAATTGCTGCAAGTCCAAATCTCTTTCAGATTCATATTCTTCATGTATGAATTCAAGTACAATGTATGCATGTCCAGACATAAGATGGATGGATGCCTTTATATGATAGTAACATGCACATGTATGTAACTATGTATATATATATGTGCACAATGTACAGGAAGTTCATATAAGAATAAGAGTGAGTAAAAAACTGGACTGGGAAGTTAAAATAATCTTGTGTTAAAAGGTTTTATATATTTTCATGAACTACTGTCCCCAGCCCTGAACATCTGACATTATACTATTTTTCTAAGCCCATCCTGCAGGACCTTTCATGTAAGTTTAGTCTTTCTGGCCAAACAATGAGTGACAAGATGATTGAGACAACATATATACACTCATTCATGGATGTTATGCACAGATATCATATCAACATTAGGAGGAAAAGTGAAAATATCAGATGACGATATTCCAGCTGTAATGAGACTTTGCTCTTGCACATTCATGCCAATGTGCTACTATGTTCCACAGAGTTGGGAAGGAAAATCTTCATAAAAGAGAACTTTGAAGATGTTACATTATGAAAATTTCCATTTTAAGGATAGTAACTTATCCACTTATATGCAAGAAAACCAAGTGAATATAGCCTAAGATATTATGTGTTATGTTGGTCACCAAAATTCAAACACAACAACCAAAAAATTTGTTGCAGCAGCAAAGATTTGATGTTGTACAGAAAATTTAAAATGTTTGTTGATATTCAAGGCTAGATAATGCCATATTCAAGCACATACATAACAAAACTTAATTCTAACCAACAGCCTAAGATGCATTTTGATGTGGAAGTTGCATCTTCTAGCGGTCTGTGCTTCTTACGCATATAACAAAGCATTCATATGCTAGTTTACCATCCCCCATAGAAGTTCTTCAACATATCATTTGAAGGTGTATTTAACAGTTCAGTATCCACTATATTCTTTGTCAAGCAAGGTCTTTTCAGCACATGTCCCTCAAAACAATATAAAAATATTATTTTCTTGAGAAATGAAGTTGATCAAACTTTTCAAAGGCATTTGCTTCTGATTAAGGGGCTTGCTTGACCAACTTGCTAAAGAAATTTAGCACCAAAGGATATAAACTTCATAGGAGAGAATAAGTAAATATTTTCACTTCAACTTTATACAATACTTGCAAAGAAACTACTTCCCATCAGTAACTAATTTTCATACTGATTCTTAAACATATGCAAAAATTAAACCATACCATGTATAAGTTTAAGGATTGAAGATGTAATGAAGATGCTCATAATATCCTCAAATATTTCTGCATCAAATACTTGAAGCGGAGAACCCACATCATGGCAAGCCATAATTATCATTGCCTGAAATGGAAATGGAGAGATTATGACCAAATTGTAGATAAACATCTCAAAAAGCATGCAGTTGGTAGCCAAACCTGAAGGGATAGAATAAAAAAGCTCCACATTCTCTCAAAGCTCCTGAATATCTGCCAGAAGGAACGAATCTCCACAAAATTTGTTTTCCCTAACCATTTTGGTTGATGTTTTTCCTCCATAATAGCCTGCTGGAGAACACACAGAATTTAAGAGAGCTGAGAAATAGATGGTAGGAATATGCTACAACTTGAAATCTGTGACCTATCAGTCATAAGTTCAAAAATCAAGTCATGATTTGTAATGTTTTGATTAAGACACCAAAAAGGATAGATCATGCACAAACAATAAGGAAATCAAGAAAATCTGTCTTTACTCATTATTATTATTAATCAGGTGGGATGAACGGCATCCTTGTTTAATAAATCCAAACAATTGTCTTCAAAAAAATTAGTGAACTTAATGTGGAGGTGCATATGTAACACTCTAGAAAACCTAGACTGATGCCAAAAGAGAGATCACAAAGGTGATGCAAATAGCATCCAAGTTACTTACTCATATCAAGTAACTTTTGCAACATCTTTTTGATGAATGCTCAAAAATTTTCTGGATTTCATATATTTTTCAAACTATCAAACTAATAATTCATTATTAGGTAGCCTTGAAATTCGACCCTAGTATGAAACATGTACCTTTGACGTCTATCATTAGAATACATAGAAAGTGAGAGGTCAATCTTTTCATTTTCTTTCTCTTAATTTTGTGATCTTAGCTAAAAATCAATCCAACAAGGAAGTACTTATAAAAGTGAGCTTATAGTCTCTTCAACAAGCTAGCTAAGCTAAGGAATGTTGCATTGAATGATTTACCCCCTGCTCTTCATCTTCATTTCCTTCTTCATTCATCTTTTTCTCTCTAGCAAAACTTGAAAACCAAGAACCCCTAGCATTGCAGTTAGTAGATTGCGTGCAGAAAAAATCATGTTCCAAACGCATGGGCCAACCTATTTCAAAACAATCAGGGGACCTGCAGAAATACAGAACTAGTATCTACATTCTTTTAACTTATTGAAAGAACTAGGAAGACAGAAGAAATTAAATAAACAAAAAGGAAAAGAAATTGAAACAAACCAGAAATATTCGTTCAGATCATCATAGTTTCTCCATGTAGAATAGTCAGCTGTCCCATTTTTATTTTTCTCAGCTTCCTTCCATTTTTGACAAGAGAATTAGACACTCAATAAGAAGACTTTAAAGGATGCAATGAAACAAGAGGGTACCTCATATATGACCCTATATATGGGGGTAACTATGTTGTTAAGGAAAGACTCAGGCTCTCCTCCATATGCTGGCATGACTTTCTCACCAGTTGCTGCACTAACATCATCCGTTAGCATACCGTGCAACTCATATGCCATCTGAAGTAAGCATCAAACATAAGAATATCATAAATTAAGAGTGCCAATGGCATTGTTTATTTCCATTGTGAATTTCAAATGGTGAACTTAAAATGCAATCTCGGGGATACAAGAGCATTAAGTTAATGACAGACTCCAACAAGAATTTCCTTCTAATGTTACATTTCCTTAGCAAAAGTAAATAAATGAGAGTTAAAAATAAATATATGCATTCAAGTCACCAAATTATGCTTAGTAATCTGCGTAGAATTTCCTTTTGAAAGTAAAATATATGCGCTCAAATCACCAAGTTATATCCAAACTTAAGTTTTAAGTTTGGCTATTTGATCTAATAATTAAAATATTTCAATAGAAACACTTGTAACAATGGCCAGTACAATAACATCCTGCTCAAAAATTGAACAGAAGCAGCTAAACCAAGAATTTTATATGGTACATTGCTTTTGTTTCCAATCAACTTTCATTCGAAAAATTACTAAGTCACAAAAAGATATTTTGGTTGGTCTTATTTTGAAGTAAATGAAATGGGACCTTTTTGTGATAGATCTCCCATCATTATGAGAGAGAAATATGAAATTTTGAGCAAGAAAGAATTAAAATAACAAACTTATTCCTTTTTTACATATTGATGTAGATTAATAAGGTAACTCAAACTTGAAGTGAATTTTGCAACTAAAATAAATTAAACAGGGAATAAGATGGGCAAAAAGAAAGACCATGCAATCAAGAGTAAATATATGATATGAGAATTACTAAGCAAATTGCCAGATTAGAAATGATATTAAACTGACAACAGTTTCATTCATAGATTCCAAGCAACAGTCCAACTTCATCTCATGAACAGGTGATCTGTTACTTTTAGTTTAAAAGCAATCAATTGCTTTCAGTCTAAAATGCGTATCTTTAATAAGAGTAGATTTTTAACCATGTGTCAGAACCAAATAGAGGAACTTGCTTTCTAATTGGACACAGGGAAAAGCATTAATCCTATTTAACTTATTAAAGTTGGTTTCTACTTCTTCCCACTTGGGAACTAAGTCGCTATATTGAAATTTAAGAGATCCTCACACCAATTAAAAGCAAATAAATCTATAAAATTTACATGAATGAAAAAGAAAAAGATCACTCTTATAGTTCCTAAAAGCATATCTGAAGAAACAGATCACTCACAAGTCAAAACTCAAAATTTGTGAAGCACTCTGGTCATGAACTCCCATGGATTCTACATCAGATAGAACTAATGTCCTCCAAGTCCTAATTAACACCATCTTTGCTCTATGTTTAGTATTTAAGTTAAAAAAGAAAACCAAACTATTCCATTTTTAACTTCAAAGACACTATACAAATCCCCTTAGAGGAAGCCATAAAGAATTACTTGAAAGAACAGAATTTCAACCTTACATGGTGAAAAATATAACAAAGACACTCTGGCATAAACCTCAAATTTGAAGCCTCTCCCCATATCAGAAGGTAAAGCCCAATATACAAAATTTTGCGCTGTTGGGCTTCTTGATTGACATAAGGCAATCTGCATGGGTAAATAACAAAATCTAGAAATAAGAGATAAATCACTGACAATAATGAAAGAAAAGCAAGTAAATAAAGAGAATGGAAGAGCTTAAAATTAAATATATGCATAATTTTTTTCAGTGGGGCCAAAATGCACAAAACCTCTACTGAAATGTAAAGAGACAAATAAAAGACTTTTAAGCTAACATAAGATAAGCTAAGCTTATTAATTCTTCTTACCAAACTAAAGAGAAAATTGCTGCAATCCTCTTACCTAATGTTGCTTCTTCTGCCCAAAAATTTACACCAATTTGTATAGTTTTTGAAAAACTTTCTCATAAGTTCATCTAAAGCTGCATCTTTGATCTGATACCACAAGGTTAAATGCATCTCAAATGAAGGTTAAAAATTTTAAGAGGTCACAAACCCAATGGATGAAATACCTTTGAATTTAATGACTGCTTCTGAGATAGCCGAGTGTAGGTATTAGCAATGAGCAGAATTAAATGCTCCCTCTGGTTGGCCACATTTCCTTTCTGACATAAGTGCAGATAATACAAGCAATGAGCAAACCTTCTATGCCTATTGCCTTAGACGAAGTAGAAAGAGCAACAATTGATATATAGAATTTTTGTTGACCAAAGATTCATTTGACATCATAAGATTACATTTTAGCCAGAAAGAAAAGACAAAATGGAGAAATATAAAACAGGATCTTTCACAATACCTGGAACCCAAATGAATATTGGAGAAATTTGAACAAATCCAAAAAATGCCCATGCTCCTGAAAATACTGAGCTGAGGGTAAGCCACGAACATTGCGAACAACTTCAATTGCGGCTTTAATCTGCAAAATGTCAGAAATTTGTAAACAGACTTTTCTTTCCTTTTAAACTCCAGGCATGCTGCACTGCAGGAGAATAAACTAAAATGACACTACACAGGTTCAACCACAGGAGAATGAAAAGTAGATAAAAGTCTAATTTCACTCTCTCCCTCTCCCTCTCCCTCTCCAGTGCACAACCACACACAGACATTGCACAAAAATACCTGAAAACTACATGGTTTTACATATTACAAGATGAAGACAAATATAGTAGGGCATCAGACCTCATGAATCTCCATAATTGCTTGCTTAATACATCCATCATCAAGCGGCAGAATGTTATATGGTACCAAAAATTCAGATCTTTCATGGATACTGTCTCTATCAACAATGGCCTTTCAAGGAAGAAATAGACATAAAACAAGATATTAAGCATGGTGATCTTTTAAGTCTTAACCTTGCAAAACATTAGCATGAAAGGATAAACGGTTATGAAAGGAAAAAAGAACCTGAGGACCAACTGGATTAATAACTGTCTTTAATACTTCATACAACACAGAAGCAATTCCCTGTGCATTTAACAACTTCTCTCTGAAAGAAATTGAGATTAAAGAAAAAGTCCAGGGATTACTTTTTCCGAGAGAAACATAGAATAGCATCTGAAAAAAAGTTTAGTTGAGTGAACATCCCCACGAATAAGCCCAATTACCTATTTTTTTTATCAAATCCTCCGCCATATCTGTTAATGTAGTCCTTGTATGCATGATAGACACGTTTTACTTCACGTCCATCCTTTTGTTCCTTGCGTTTTCCAATTGTGATTTCTACATCCTACCAATCAGCAATGACCAGAGGGAACAAATATAAAATGAAAATAGACAAACAAAATGAAGGATTTGAGAAATAAGCCATAGGTACAAAAAGAAAATAAACAAACAGGAAATTCCATCAACTAGAACAAGTTTTGACATGTTCTCTTGATCCATGCCACAATACAATGGCATGATATTTTAGAAAAAAGAAATAGATAGTAAACATCACATTATCATTCACAGGAGGATTTGATTTGATTTTACCACACCTCTGGATGAAAGTTTCCATGTAAAAAGATTAAGGGAAGCAATTTTGAAAAGCTTTTCTAAAGTTCAAGAACATTATAGGTGCATTTGTTGTGGGAAAAGTTCCACCCACCACCCTCACTTGGGGAAGTTGATGGGTATTTTGGTTTCCCTAATATTGCAAACAATTAAGGAGTAGAGTTGACATTTTGCTCTGTCACATTTCCTTATGCGAGAAAACTTTCCTCCCAATTTTGGGAGGTATTACCACCCCCCCCCCCCAAAAAAAAAAAAAAAATCGCCCTTTGGAACCCACTTGGCAAGTTTTTTCCCATAAAAGTGCAATGCCAACTTATCAAACATAGGATAGTTAGCAATTTAAAGAAAACTTCCCTAGAAAAATGTTACCAACTTTCCAAGAAAACTTCCCAGGCAAAACTTCCCCGAGGAGACTGCAACCAAAGTTTAGCAGACCACAATGCAACAATGGTGGATTTTCAGATATCAGATGTTAGTTCTATTCTAACTCAAACCCTTCTTTTTTTTCCTTTTTTTCTTTTTTTTTTTTTTTTTTTTTTTGCTTTTGCTAACAGAATGAATACAAAGTTATGGTGAGAAACATCAAGTTTAAAGTGAAGACTAAGATGATTCAGTTAGATTACCAAAAAACAGGAAATGAAATATCTATAATTTAAAAGTATAAGACTATCAATGAATTTATGTGTCATGTAAAAGTGCTAAAAAATTTAGGAAAAAGGTATAATTATAAACTAATTTAAAATAATAAGAGTAAATTAAACCTCATTAAGACTGAACTCTAAGATGAATGGATAAGGAGCAAAAAATAATACAACATGGTAAAGAATCAAAATAATATCAAAGCATGTTGGGAAAAAAAATAAATAAATGAAGATTAATCTGCAAGGGCAGGGAATAACACAGTCAACCTTACTGGCCAACAGAAACAATAGTCAAACTTGAAAAAAGTAAGCCAGAAGATGGAAATTAAGAAAAGGAATGCAAACAAGATATTTGGGGTTCAAAGGCAGACAGAAACCAAAAGTATCTAACAGCACTTCAGCCCCCTTAGTTAAATGAATCCACTCAGAAACTACCAAAATAAACAACATGTTGACAATTTGCAGTATTAGATGAGGGCTTCAATCTGAGGTCTCACCCTTTCAAGCCGCTGAAGAAGAGAAGTTTTAAATTGTCGAACACCCCTTCCAGTTGAATTGCGGTCCATGTTATGTGCCATTTCAAAAGCATGAAAGCGGCCTGCCCCAAGAATCTACATGATTAGTGTGAAATGCATCATGCATGATCTCAACCTAAACTTGACTTTCAATGAATTCTGGCAGCATTGAAATATTGGGTTTGATACAAGAACAAGAATGCAAACCCTGTGTCAAATTGACATGTATGGTTCACACTATAATGATAATCTCCACAGGTTAATGAAAAAAGGTAGTTGATTTTGAAGAGATGACCTCTAGCAATTACTCCATGCTCAAATACACTCATTTTAGCTTAGTATTTTTTATGTAAACTTTCAATAGATTTTACCTCTTAGTCCCAAATATTTAAAATCTCCTTACCTAGATTCGATAGTTCTCCATTTTGAGTAAAATAATCACCAGAAAGAGAGATACTCACCATAATACTTTAATAGATAAGCAACAATACTAAATTACTCGCATCACAACTGGCCTATCAACTCTGTGTTAGATACACAGTGGCACTAAAAAAAAAGCTCAAGTCGGTGGTGACACTTAAAAATTACTCACATCACACTTCCTCCCGGACCTCCTGGTTAGGGATTTGGTGCGTTACACATAGAAATGCATGATCTCACCTATTTAGACAGCCATAATCACTCCCAAACATGCTACTTAAGGACCAAGAAACTGTAACACTTGCCTAACTATGAACCAAGACGT